CATCAATCATCCCACATCAGGAGGATGTTAAACAAAGTTTTACTCAATTATTTGAAGGGATTACGTAATTACTACTCTGCATCTACAGAGCACAGAACATCGCTGGATGACTCTTCCCAGTCAGGCAAGATAATTGACTCATGAATAGTCATCACACAGGTTCATTTCCTGTATTGCAAAATAAATGTTATTTAAGCCGAATGACATATTACATGTGGCTGAAACCAGGCTTTATAATGCTTCCTAATCCTCTAAATGTAGTTGTGTTTATCCTGTTAGAGGCACAATTACAGTTCTCTTCCACAGTAAAATGTGTAGGCCTGCAGGTGGAAACAAAAATATATCTCCCGCCCCACCCAAAGATCCAACTCATAATATTGTGTCAGCGCCTGAAAGTGTGAAATTTCACAACATGGAGATAATTTGGGAGATCCACCCATTGAAACTTCACGCAGAAGTTCCAACGCGGCGATTTCAAGCTATACTTTATTCTTATTTTTAGAAACTAGGCCAATCATGAAAAGTGTGGTGTGAGGATCACTCAAGCCTCTCTGCTGAAACCCTTTCAGGATCCCAAGACAGAAATAACTCCCTTTTCTTAAAATATGTCGGAGAAGATACGGAGACAGAGTGAGCATGATGATAACAGCTCGGCCTTTTTCCCCATGCAGTTTGACTTTCCTGAGATGGGGCTGCTTGACAACCAGAGCTGGTTTGACAGCACTTTGGGAACGAGGCGGACGTGCCCAGGCCTGACAAACAGAGGTCAAGGTAAGCCTTCCGGTACACTGAGAGAAGAGTCACGCAGGGTGCAGGAGATGCAGCTTGACTTTTGCATCTGGATGGGCCAAATGTGAAGTGATGGCCTCGGTGAAGTGGAAAGCGTGTTTTGGGAAGGAGCAGAGGCTGAGGTATGGTGGATATGTGCTGCAGCCCGGTGAATCGGTCTAGACGTGGTGAGTCAAGCTCCGGGCAGACACAGCAACAGCTTCTTCAGATACGACAGGGCCAGGCCGCGCTGTGCCCTCTCAGCCTGGATGATGCCTCTCCCTGGATGGGGCTTTGAAGTATTCAAACTAGTTGCTTGTATATGACGTTGATGAAGCAGGGCTCACACTCTTTATATAACCGTCACCATTTCCCATGACAAACAGGCCGTTAAAGGAATGATCCATGTTCTGATGAGCTAAAATCAGCACTCGCAGTCAAAGTCAAAAAGCAAAGTAATGCATAAATGACTCCAACGGCCACAAGATTGAAATGGTATGCTCGGTTACACCCAACATTCAGAAAGAGAGGAGAATATTAATCATTACAAAAAAAAAAAAAAAAA